CAGAGGTACAAACAGTGTCCAGGTTCAGGGTAAATATGTATGATTCACAGTGGGTAGGACGATAGTGACCTCCCTGGGTCACATGACCCTACATACATGGACCGTGACCTGACAGGAGCGGAGGTCATACCTTGGCAGAGATTGGTCAGGAGAGAGTCGGGAGGAGAGGAAGATGGGAGTAGGGTAGGACTCTGGAGGTGGTGGAAAGGGGGTCTGGGAGTCGAATCAGGGTTGGGTATGTATGGATATGACACACCCCAATGGGCCTGTGCTGCCTGCAAGTTTTGCTTGAAGCTTGCTGTAAGTGTCAATCTGTAAATAAGGGATCTCCCCCAGACATCAAGCTCAGGGCACAGTGCTCCCCTTGAGTCACTGAGGCCATGATCCCATTCTGCTAACTCTGAACAGCGCTTCCAGACATGCTTGTCAGGGACAGCTTGAGGAAGGTGGAGGTAGCGGCGTAGTGCTCAGCGCTAGCGGCCTGGATGGCAGTGGGGCAGTGAGACTGTATAGTGGCCAGCCCTCACTCAGGCTTACGTCCCTGTGTGGCTTCTTAGGCTGAAGCAGGAAATGTATTGTTATTAGAGTGGGAAGCTAGACTAAACTAGGGTACTTGCCTGAAGCGGGAAATGAGAAGAAGGTTACTTCTTCAGTCCTGCTTCGGCTTAGTTATATACATGTGTGAATGGGTCACGTGGAGGTGCCACGTCATCCCCGGATGAAGCCGGGTTACTGCAGGTGGCTCTGCAGTCGATCCCGAGTGTTAGAGGGGAAATACAAGTAGGAATGTGCAGCGCGTCCAGCGTCACGGTGCCCCTACGGGGTGCTCAGTGTCGGACGCATCTGTGCTACAAGTGTAGGAAAGAAAGAGAGGTCGTCTGTATAAAGATAGAAAAGAGAAGGAGGAAAGAAGAGAGAATGAGAGAATGAGATGATGAGATGAAAAGGAGAAGGAGGTCATGGCGGTGTGCCCTGACAATGCTGCTTATTTCCGCCCACATTTCCATACACATGTGCTCTGACTCCAACAGCACCCCTGACTCTGACAGATGCACTGTAGTGTCATAGCCTAGCTCCTGAAGTGCAGGATGTTTTCAGGGGATGGACCCCGGGTCCCCATGACCCCTCTCTCTATAGCCCACAGCCCTGTGTGTAAACAGCCTATCCTAAGGCACAACCTACTGTGGGTAAGAAAGTGAGAAGAAGGTTAACTTCTCACTTTCCCACAGTGGCCCAATATGCGAAAACTTCCGGGTATCCCTGGAAGTCACATGAGAAGTGGGAACCGGGCCCGGAGCATGTGGCATGTGGAGCACGCATGCAGATCCGGGTCCAGGTCCAGGCTAGTCAGGGTGATGTATAACTTGCACACACACTCTTAAATAGCTTCATTTCAGGTCTAATTGTCAGGGCACACCTGCCCGACCCACCTCCACCCAGGCCCACCTCACCTGGTACCTCTTCTCTCACCCTGCACCCTTCCTTCATGTTCTTTCCCCCCTCTATCCCTCTTCCACTTCTATTTCTATTTCTATTTCACACGGACGACCTTTCCCTTATATCTATGTATTATTGATCTGCCCACGATGCACACATGACATGCCTAGCCCTGGACACCCCAGATGGCTCTAGGGCGCAACCTAGTGCACGTGCATGCAGCATACACCCTTGGGATCCCCCATGGGGACACCCAGGTGACTGCAGCTGTATGCGGGGTGACGTGGTGGACCTCATGTGACCCAAGCCGCATGTATATAAACACACCTGGGGTGGGAACCGAAGAAGTAACCTTCTTCTCAACATTCCCACTTCAGTCTAAGTGGCCAGGGATCGCTGTCCTACATTGGGCCTGCCAGTACACATGCCCGATCTACCCCCATGAGGTCCTTAGCACCGGATGCTACGCCCGGACTGCCTCGACCGCGGACTTGTCCCTGACACTAATCTGGTCAATTTTTTACATGGTCATGGCCATAGTAACCATGTACATGTGTGCAAATAATGAAAATATTCGGTGAAAAAATAAGGGTGTATTGTAGAAATAACTATTGAGGGGTGATAACTATTGGCACATGAATAACTGTATTTGTATCCTAACCTACAATAAAGGACTAGGTAGGATAAGTAACTAAGATAGAAGCAGTGAACCAAACATCAGAAACTGAGGGAAAAAGAAAACAGCTAAAAACTGTATATGCAATCACAAAGGAATTTGATGACATGCATGTCATGAGTTGTTGCCTCACAACAGGAAAGCCATGCATGCACTCTGATAATGTTGAAATGACTATGGAACAGGTTGCAAGCTAACTCCAAATGGGGAGGATTTTTGTACAAGTTCAATCATTTCATCCAAAAGCTTCTGCTTGGACTCTGAAAACTTGGGAAGATTTTGAATGAGTAGTTCATAAACTTTTTTGAATGATTCCTTAGTTGAGGGCTCCTGGTATTCTTTCTTTTCCTGAGCAGGTATGTAAAAGCGCTTGGCAATGTCATTCCTAACTGGGCCACTGACAGGCATGGGTGGACCAGAAACCAATCGCCGAAAGGTATCAGCAACCCAGTGGTGGCAAAGCTCTTCAGCCAACCTTACAGACCCCTTATGTAGGCAGACCCACCTGAGAAGTTCTCTCGTGTCTCCATTGGTTACGCAGGAGAGCTAGACCTGTCCCAGTACAAACCGATTTTGCCGATGATGAAACCCAAGATGCTGTATCTGGGGGAAAGCAAGCAAGGGCACATCCGAAGAAAGAAATCATGCACTTCTTGACACAGTAAGCACTTCAACAATTGGCATGAACATGAAACAATATGATCATAGAAAGGAGCTGTAATCATATTGATACTACTCCATAGTTCCAATGAGCATTGCAATGCGATGCAAGCCAAAAATTCATTCTATCTTACTGGAAGCCAAGCATCCAAATCAGTCCGAGAATGGGCAGTGCATGCGGGCCTCTCAGTCTCACCAAAGTCCACCGAAAACATTTGGAACTCGTTAGTGATGACTCAGAAGATTATGAACTTGGAACTTGGATGTACTAGGGTACTCAATCTGGCATATGACAATTGCGACTTCAAATTCGGAGTCGGTCAGTCAACGGATCTCAATGAACGTACCTTTGAGAGTATCACCACTGGCATGTTCCTCAATCCCCCTAGTCAAGTGCTCCCGGAGCATCTGGAGTATGCCGAAATGATCTGGGAATGTCACAACAATAACCCGGATGCGACAAACCCATACCCTCCCATGACTCTATCCGATGTTATCCCAACATCACCCACTATCCAGAACCTCATAAAACATTGTCAGTGGCACATCAAAGCCATACTCATAGATGAATACTTCCCTGAAATGCGCTTGAACCTTGGGCAACCGTGTTCAACATTTAAACTGAGCCCAGAAAAGACAACATACTCAACAGTGAAAGCAATGTATGCGAAGGCATCAACAATCGATGGAAACATCCAAGCTCTTCTGTCGCTGCTGGAACAGAGTGGGATTATGGATGCTGCAACATATGAAAGTACATGATCTTGGTTCATGGCGATCTTGGGTCATTGGAGAAAATTGAGACCATCTTGCAGTCACGATGCATCAAAGAGGATGTTTTGGAGCGTATGCATTATCTGCTACCGATACCTGGGCTATTTCACGTTAGAATGGCATGTGTGGATGCTATTAATAGGATTCACACAATGGGACACAACTTACGCAATAATCCAAATGGCCTCTACAAAAAACTCGCCCATCTCTTCCCCAATGACGTTGCAAAACTCAACAAAAGCATTCCCCCTTCCGTATGATGAATGACGGAATAATATTCATCACAAAGACCATGATCCTCGATGCTTGGACAGAGAACATCGGTGGAGACCTTTGGAATTATGTAGAAAGCAAACCTGATTGGGAGGACATTGAGAGAAGGGCAAAGACCATTGTGTCTGCATATTTCGAAACAGACACAATATCATCTGATCAAAGACGAAACAAGGAGTATGACGAGCGATGGATGAACCAGGTCCTATTCAATCATGATACCATGTATTACTGAATCCTCGTTCATGCAATGAACTATGGAATGGTTGATATCATCGTCGATGTCCTCTCATTCTGGGTGTCGGTGTTTCAGGCCTGTGGAAAACACAAATATGTGAAACACTCATCCAAGTTCATATTTCAACTTAGGCAACTTCCCGATCCATTAAGAGACGCTGTGATGAGGTGTTGGTTGTGCTGTCCATCTGGAAAGGAGGGTGGATTTCAAGCAATTGACTGGCTTGTGGAACTAATGAACCTATATACAAAGGTGTGGCAGATGTTAATCAGTGATGACAAATATTAACATTGAAGCACAGGTCGTGTATGGTGGCTCTGGTTCTGGAAGGACAATCAACTATGTGATTAGTCAATCATCAATCATTAATGCATACCATCAGTGCATCGAAGACATTGAGCACGATTTTCACATACCGGAGAAAATGCTCCATCATGCAGCTCCTGACATCCAATCTAGGCTGGATGGTTTAAAAAGGACCCTTCATGAGCTCCGGCCACACAGGTACGAGAGAGGGCAGAAGGTACCTTACTTCATAGAGGATTACTTTCAGAAGGGGTGCAAGCAATATTTGAGGGGAACGATGTGGAGTTCTGTTGACATGGATAACGAAGAAAATGATGAGGGACCTGAAATAGAAGCCATTGATCTGGGAGCGTAAACCTCAGTGGCACAACACCGATGTCGAGGGTGGTACAGCATTCTCCTTGTCTTTACATTTCGTCCCTACAAGAAAAAATGCTGATCTATCTTATTGACACATCAACAGTACAAAACTACTCACGAGTATGACCTGTTTGCCCACATGTACCACACGGTGCAGAGCATGTTCAAGCTAGGGTGCAAATGCATTTGTACTGCATGGAAAGTAACATAAAATGTACCATTGTGACCACGGGTTCGACAGTTTGAGCATGTGCTGATTCGAGAATTTTCGACAGCTCAGGACGCATTTTGAGCGACAGTGGGTGATTCAGGGGGGAGTGCAAATATCTTGTGCACAATGTTGAGTAATTCCAAAGCATAGTGTTCATGATATACCCAATCAACAAGTTGAATGAACTTCTCGCAACATGTTAGCTTGTTCAGATGTGCGAGATAGATGATGTCATCGATTACATCATCTGGGAGAATGAGCCAGTCTCCCACCCACATATCATCATGGCGGTCAGGGTGAGTGTGGGCAAATTCCTCCTTTCTCCACTCATAAAGTGCCTTGTCAAGAGCAGTCGACCAGGCATCATTCTTCTCATATTTGGACTTGGGTTCGACGTGCTGTGGGTTCCACTTACTGGGAAGTGGTTCAACTTCAGCATCAAACATCCCTGATGTGTGTCCAGGACTGTGTAGGTCACAGCAACTTGTCGACTTGTGTGGATCACACCGTTTGCGACAGCCGTGTGGCGTCCCTGGTGGGGATTTGTCAGGGGACAGACCCCGGGTCCCCATGACCCCTCTCTCTATGGCCCACAGCCCTGTGTGTATCCTAAGGCACAACCTACTGTGGGTAAGAAAGTGAGAAGAAGGTTAACTTCTCACTTTCCCACAGTGGCCCACTGGCAATATGGCGAAAACTTCCGGGGATACCCAGAAGTCACATGAAGAGTGGGAACCGGGCCCGGAGCATGTGGCGCGTGGAGCATGCGGGGCGGAGCGCACATGCGGGTCCGGGTCTGGGCTAGTCAGGGTGGGAAAGCTGGGAAGGTAATTCAAACTCACTTGTGTGGGTATTACCAAAATAAATGTTGCACACTAACCTACAGCAACCCCTCCTAGGATCACCATCTGGCAGCAGGTCAGCATTGATAAATGCATCAAGACCTGGGTCAATATTCTTGCGGTCTGCTGGCCCCCTCTTCACCTTCACCATTCTTGGTTTATTCTGTGTTGACACATGAACACCACTGTCTTCAACACGCTCCACAGATGGCTCTATCACCTCATCATCAATAGCGTTGGGTTGATTGTGATCTACCGCTCAAATGTGAGTCTGCCCAACAAACCTTGTTATCGTGGGAAGGACTCACCAATGGCATCCATGCATTCTATCCCATTGGTGGCGCTATTCCCACCCTCCATTGCCTTACACACCACATCAAAATCGATATCCAGAAACTCATCCCACATTTCATCCTCCAATACACTGGATGCTTCCAAATCACAATGCCTCTCATCAGGGTGATCATTGTCGCTTGACGGCCAAACATCCTCTCGCAATGGCAGCGTCGGATCTGGTTGATGAAGATCAAGCAGATATTCATCAAATTCATTGTTAGATGCGGCAACTTCGTGGGCATCCACATGATTAACCATGGTAAGCAGTTGCCTTGTTCGCTTCCTTGGCTGGTCATCTGTGCTTGTGATTTTCTGCATAGTGGCTTTACGTTTTTTCCGTTTGGCCATCTTCTTTGCCCTCCCTTCTCGCTCACGGCAGGTTTCTTCGAAATAATCTTGTGGTGCAAGAAGGATGACAATACCACTCATGTCCGGGTCCCTTGCTGCACGACCAAAGCGCTGTGCAAGCGTACTCAAGTTGTCAGGTGGGCCAAATTGGACGAGTCTTGCGATATTTGGTAAGTCAAAACCCTTTGTTTTACTGTCAGTGTGGGTATCACATGTGGAGTGCTGCACTTACCAACCCCAAGGATTCTGTGGCGGTTATTCCAATAAGTCTTCCATCCCTAAACATTTAAACTGCTTGCTGTTTGTGTTTATCCGACATCCCTGAGTGGACCCAAATTATCCTCTTCTTTAGTGACCCATCCACTCGAGACCGGAGGTAAGTGGCACTCCATTCTGCATCATTTCGAGAATTGCAGTAAACAAAGAATGGCACTGGCATGACAGGGTCGGATTCTTTGAGTCCCAACGGCACAAGGAACGCAAGATCTTTGCAGGATTCTCTACTGTACTGCATTGGCCATACACAGTAATGTAAGTTTGGATGATCATTTGAACGGCGGATCCACTTTGTATAATCCCCACCCTGCGTAGTATGATATGGATCCATATTAATGGTGGAAAGTACCTTGCTGCAAGTACGTGCATCGAGGGTTGCGGATGTAAGGTACCATTGGCATCGGGATTGAAGGTACACATACAATGAGTGAAGATCCGCATATTTAGAATGAAAGGACAGCCACTGTGTAACGCAGTGTGCCTCATCAACTATGATTCAGCTGATTTGAGAGACAAATTTTGCACTCCTCCAAAGTAGCTTCAAGAGTTCACCGCAGAGCAAATCCGGTCCAAGGATAACGTATCTGTATTTGATTTCCGCTATCTCCTCTACTGGAATTAGCCTATTGGTATGTGGAGAGTGAAAGAAACATACATTTATTAGATCTTTACTGGTGTTTTCAGCTTCTACAGTTATCGCTGTCAGGCCTAGCTTAACTGCACTCTCATGGTGCTGGTGAGCCAGTTTTTTTAGAGGGACAACAATAAAGGTGACACCGGATTTCTCATAGAGTGCTGGAAGGAAGAAAGTATACATTTTTCCTGTCCCAGTTGCCACAGTAGCTACAAGATTGTGTTTGGGAAATTGAAGGAGGTATTCCACAATTTCAGCTTGAAACTAGCAGGCATGTTTTGACCACCTCTGTTCGCTTAGGACCCTTATTTGCTCTGCTGTTGGCTTAGCATTTATCATGGTGTCGGTTGCAGTCAGAGGGGATGCAGACATGGAGGGCAGGGGAGGGTGCCTAATTGGGCCAAGGATTAGCGTGGGAAACGTTGGGACGGAAAGTGCCGTAGCACTGCCATACTACATTTTGCCCCAGTCTGAGGAGCGAAGTGTCATGGGCAAGTTTCGGAGTAGGTGATCAGCTATGTGTTTAACTCCATACCATGTGATTTTTTGTATTGAGTACAGAACATGACTTTAATGGTGGAAGCAGAACGTGAGAATAAAGATTTAGCGTGAGAACATTTATTTACATTGCGTAAAAAAGCTATTATTTTGTGCATCCATGGAGCTCCTCAGACTGGGTACGAGTCTGGGTTGGCTCCAAATGAATAGCTTCGTGGACTTAACATTTTTTTCACTCGGTGACGGTGATGTGGCTCTTATGCATCACTTCTAGTTTTCCAGGTAGGTCCCTTATATTTCTTTCATAGTACATATTTTCCAAGTTACTCATAGCACTCTATGCATAATTACAGGTTGTACAAGCTGCTCAGCCATGTCTGGTGAGTGCTACCCATTAGTACATGTTCATGCACTAATCCCTCATCACCTAAGGGACCTGATAACTTGCAGAATCACCCATCCCACAACTCCTGAATCCAACCATTCCCCAAGCCCCCCATGTCCAACACACACCCGGAATCCTTCAATGAACTGGGGCCTTGCCCCTTCAACTTTGTTTACATTTTGTATTATGTATTTATGCACAGTACATAGAGATCATGAAATCTGAAATATCACTGCAATCACCCCTGGATTTTAAGTTGAAATTGACTCGATATGGCCTCTTGTAATCAGGGGGCCTTTGTCACAACTGACAAATCCCAGGGCTCCATCAGTGGCGAATCAATGCTGATAGGCGTTTCTGCTGACCCGAACCCATCCTTACCAGCCCCAACCCGATGTCTGCTCTATCGACCATGCACCGCTTCCGCACCTTCCACAACCTCTGTCCATTTCTGGTTGTCCTTGACACCTCTGGTCAGGTCAACACTCCCCTCCGTATCTTGCTGGCCATCATGCTGTCCTTTTGTGACAGCACTGACAGACCACCCTCTGTTGCGGACTCATCAGCACCATGCTGATTCCTGCATCCCTTTGTGGACTTGTGTCGGCATCGCACCAACCCCGCATCCTGATTTGCGGACTTGTATTGGTGCCGCGCACTGACCTCCACTTTTCCTCTGGCCATTTGTCACTTGGCAGCTAGCTTATCATTCATTCCTTGCCAAGTGCCATTTATTGTTTGCTTCCCTGCCAATATCGGCATTTGATCTCCTCTTTATTGGCACTAGGTTATTGATCTCATTCAGTTATTCATCAATAACCCTTGCCACTTATTGTTTATTGATCTGTTCCTCGTTTCCAGTTCCCAGGCTCTTGTCCTTATTTAGTTTGACAATCCCCGCTTATCTCCGTGCCGGACTGCACCGGACTGACCGGCCTTTCTATATTCCCTCTTACCTATTTATATACCTTGTAAATACTTTTGGGGACTTCAGTCTGAAATCAACTAGAGTACCCCCCCCTGTCTGGTCTGAGTCCCTCCTTCTGTAAAGGGGGCTTCCCCCCTTCTGAGTCCGTGCTTGTGGAGTCCGTGCTCCTCCTATGGGCCTGCTCCGCCTGCAAGTCTTGTTTGAAGTCCACTGTAATTGTGAGTCCATAAATAAGGGATCTCCCCCAGACATCAAGCTCAGGGCACAGCGCTCCACTTGAGTCGCTGAGGCTGCGATCCCACTCTGCTAACCTTGAACAGCGCTTCCAGACGCACCGCATATTTCCGCCTGCATATCCGTGCATGCGCGCTCCAACAGACCTCTGCATCACCTCCAACCCTGACTCCGACAGAACCCAGCCCATCTCTGACAGCCTTCTAGAATGATATCACGATAAAAATGATTCCTATCATTTCTATCAACTTCAGTGGTTTGCTGATGAATACTAGAAAGGTTGCTTCGCAACCATGACCTTGCTTGCACATCATTGCTCAATGCTGACCACAAGCCAGTTATTGGAGTTGGCTTTAGTCATTTAATTCCTTGACACTCCATCCATCAAGCACTGTCAGGGCATACACCCTGACCTAGCCCATACCCGCATCCACACCCACACTCGCACCCGCACCTGCAACTGCACCTGGCTGTTGCACTCCCTGCATGCGCCCTGTGCCGGACGCTCAGTGCAGCCAGATGGGCCAGACCTCAGGTCTCGGGTCTCATGTGACTTCCAGATATCTCCGGAAGTTTTCAATGTATTGTGGCCACTGTGGGAAGATGAGAAGTTAACTTCCTTCTCATCTCTGACCCACAGTAGGATTGTGCCCTGGATAGGGCTGGCCAGACCAGAGACTGTGGACCTAGGGGAGGGTCATGGGGACCCGGGAGTCGTCCCCTGACAACACCCAACCCATCTGGGCCCACCCAGATCCACCTGGTGCTCCACTCTCCCCTTCCCCTCCTTCACCTTTTCCCCCCTTTTCCTTTTCTCTACTATTCCCATCTCCTTCTCTACTTCCCCTTTCTTCTCTTTTTCTATCACATGGATGACCTTCTCTGTATCAATGTACTACTGACCTGTCAGAGTTGGACAGACTGTCAGAGACAGAATTACTGTCAGAAGATGGGCTGGTTTCTGTCAGAGTCGATGTTGGAGGTGTTGCAGAGGTCTGTTGGAGTGCACGCATGTGGATGTGTGGGGGGAAATATGCGGCACATCTGGAAGCGCTGTTCAGAGTTAGCAGAGTGGGATCACAGCCTCAGTGACTCAAGTGGAGCGCTGTGCCCTGAGCTTGATGTTTGGGAGAGATCCCATATTTACAGATTGACACTTACAGTGGACTTCAAACAAGACTTGCAAGTGGAGCGGACCTGCAGGGACTCTGCAGGCATGGACTCAGAGGGGGGGAAGCCCCCTTTGCAGAAGGAGGGACTCAGTCCAGACAGGGGGGGTACTCTAGTTGATTTCAGACTGAAGTATTTACAGGATATAAATAGGCAGGAGGGAAACACAGAAGGGCCAGTCAGTCTGGTGCAGTCTGGTGTGGAAATAAGTGGGGATTGTCAAACTGAATGAAGGACAAGAGCCCATGAAATGGGAGGCAATGAACTAAAACAAAAGTTAAGCAAATGAATGGATGAACAATATAGGCACTCGGCAAGGAATGAATGGTATGCTGCTGAGTGACAAAAATGGCCAGAGGAGGTCAGCACATGGCGCCGATACAGGTCCACAAATAAGCGGGGTTGGTGTGGTGCTGACACAAGTCTGCAAACAGAGGTTGATCTGTCAGTACTGTCACACAAGGACAGCATGAAGGCCAACAGAGGTACAGAGGGGAGTGGGAGTGTTGACCTGACCAAAATGTCAAGGGCAACCAGAAGTGGGCAGAGGGTGCAGAATGCATGGAAGTGGGGCATGGCTGTGACCACATAGTGGGAAGCAATGAGTGTGGTTCAGATGGAGACAAGGCAGGCATAGGAACTGGAGGGACTGAATGTGTCAGAACAGGCAGATTCAGATGACTCCAGAGTGGAATCGGAGACTTAGCATGGAAGGACCTCGGCCTCAGTGACTCAGGCAGAGCGCTGTGCCATTGCTGGTTGTCCTAGGGGTCCCTAATTTCGGATCTAGCAGAGGGAAAGTCTCTTGGGGGCATTTCAGGTCGATTTCGGACTGAGGTTACAAGTTACTATGTACATTGTATATAAGGAGGGTCTGGAATCAAAAGGAGCAAGGGTACTCCGAAAGGAGACAAAGGGAGCTGGAAAGAGGAACAACACCGAGGGTCAAGGGTTTGACTCAATGGTGTTTCCCAAAGGAGGAGTGAAGGGCCAAGGCCCAAGGAGGATGGATGGAGGATGGGAGTGGGGAATGGCTGACTGACTGAATAGAAGGAAGCAGCAGCCCAAATAGGAATGAGGGAGAATAGCGGAATTGAATGGAGCAATGCAATAGTTGCAAGGTCCGACCTAAGTCCAGAAAGTCTGAACTCGGAAGTTAAACTCCGGAATATTGGCAAACATAATTAAATGGAATGAGGTAACCAATACAATGGGTATAAGCGGAGGTGGGGTCAAAGTCCGAGGTTGGAGCTAAGACTGGAGGTTCTGGAGAAGGAGATGTGAACAGGATTCCGGAGCGGAGGCCCGGAGTCGGGAGCATAGGTGTTGCATGCTCATCTGGGAGGTGTCGAGGTTGAGGTCGGACCTGGAATGTTCCAGAGTCAGACCAAAGGTGGTGTCAGAGCCGGAGGTGGGATAACCTCTTGGGAGTCGGCAAGGAGAAGGTGACAGAAGGGAGGTAGGGCTCCGGAGTCGGTTTCGGAGTTCCTTTCGCTTAGACTCTTTACAAGAAATCATTCTGGGTGTGTCCTTCACTTTATTAGAATATAGT